CACACACACACACACACACACACACACACACACACACACACACACACGGCTTCCACAGGTTTTTCTGTGACAATTAAAACTGGTATATCAGCACAGCAAAGTCCCTGTTAGCAAAAATTAAACTGCTCGACAGATAGTGATGATGTGTTCTGCAGCAAACGAATTTTGTTTTACCTTGAACACAAGTTAGATGTAAAGTTTGCCCTATAATTCTACTTGTAAGATATGTGAACATCAAAGATACAAAGGCATTTTTCAAAGTTGCTTATTACACTGTTTATACTTTAAAAAGAAAGTAAAAAAACTAAATGTTCAAAAACAGAAAAAAATGATTTAAAAGGCAAGAAATATTTGCTCAGAATGTTACAGCCATTGAAATTATATCTTAATAATAGAGTTAAAGTCTCCTTATAAATATAATAATATATTGTAAAATACTCATCCATTAGGTTCATGGATGGGTATTTACTTGTATGTTTGCACGCTAACATTGTACATCCACTCACAAACCAAAAACAAGTTATGTATAGATTACAGAATTATCTGTGATTCTGTTTCTCTAATTTTTATATTTCTTAAGTATTACACAATGATGTATTAACCTTTCCATCAGGAAAGAGAAAATACATTACATGAAAGTTACCCACAAAGAGTAGGAAGTACATGCAAGAAAAGATTCCTACTAGATGTAAAATATTTTTAATTACTAAAATAAGACATTGACCTTACCTTTGTGTGGCTTAAAACATCTTTCCTATCTGTCCTCCTTAATCTTCATGCAAGTCAGCTGGACGAAATGACTGCTTTTTATTTTTAATGGCAAAACAATTACAAACGTATGACATTTGATGCGACGCTGTAAGTTAGGATGTGGAATGATTGAATCGAGCAACTAAATCACATCGCGTGCTTATCACGTCTCCAAGATGAGAACATTTAAACATCCGCTCTTTCAGCAACTAGAAATTCCAAGGAACAGAGCAAAGCAAGTGATTTCTGAGATTGATAACGGAGTTGTAGAGGTCCCTTGAAAGATCCCCTGGGTCACCTCCTTATGTGTGTGATGATCTGAGCAGCCCATGGGTCCCACACCGAGCCTTTCTACCGGAAGCCTGTCTGGATGCTCCGTCGATGCTCAATGCTTGTCTCAGAAGTATTTTTAGGCCTCAGATGAGCCTTCAAAGACCAGTTCTTAACAGAGTAGCTTGAATGTAACTTCAAAAAGACCCTAAGCCAGAAACCCTATTAGAACCACTCCTGGGTTTGTGATCTTCAGAAACTTTGCGACCTGAATGTCTGCTGTGTGTCTAAATGCTGACATTGTTACATAGCCCTAGATTACCAATACAGTTTCTAAGGCCAAATCTTTTTCAGCTATTTTTGCATAATGAAAGGCCAAAAACTTTGTCAAAATAGTTTTTTCTTGTTTTAGGTAATGCAAATATTTAATTGTCAGTTACATATTAATTAAAATTAAGTGCTAGATATCATACTATGGTTATGAATCATAGACTCTTTGCATTTATCTTTGTACATTTTACACTTCATATCATGTCTTGAACATAGGATGTGCTCAATAAAATGAATAAGTTACTCATGAATTAGTTAATCATCTAAAATATTCTTTCTTTTTCTTTCTTACTGGCTGACCTTGAAGTCATGATCCTCCTGCCTCCACCTCCTTCAACAAATTCATCACAATCTGTCTTAAATAGTTTTATAAACTCTACTATGCAAATATCTATTTGTTCACAAGTCTGATCTGGAGCTGGAAAATTTTCTATATTTTTTACTTAACATCAATACCCCCAAAAAAATCCTCCAAAAATATATTTTATTAGCTCAGGACTTTGAAACATTCCATTAGCCAGCATTACTGTGGAATCTAGTTGCGGGCTATGCTGATCTGAGAAACGGGAGAGCATTCCATTTGAGGCAACTGATGAAGGAGACCCAACAGGTGTAAGCACTAGGTTGAAGTGTGTCCATGGGAAACACATGGTAGGATGTAATCAGTAAGGCAAAACCCTTCCCTGACATCCATATGTGCACTCAATAGCGTTTGATACTAGTTAGGCTGAGCCACTGACATCAATATTTAATCAGCAAAACTTGAGATTTCATAAAACTAGTACCATTTGCCTTTTCCCTTGCATAGCTTTATATCTACTACCTCATGTATTGATCATATAATCTCAGGGGGAAATTATTCTTTGAATCCCATTTCACTTATGTGGAAAGTAAGCCTTGAAAAGGCCAGGAAATAGACTAAGGTCTTACTCAGAAGAATTAGGTGGAGGCCGAACTCATGGCTAGTAGGGTGGATGTTAAGAGATGAGGTCTAGGAGATTGGTTCCTGGACCCTACTCAGACGTCAGCATCTTAGGATGCTGAAGTGCATCGTATAAAATGGACAATCAGCATGCAGCTTCCATCTTCCTTGATGCCTCCTCTCTAGCTCACTCACAACTAGAGATTATTTACTAAGATAATAGAAATGATAGTTAATTTACTAGGACAATGTAAATGATAAGTAATTTACTAGGATAATGATAAGCAAATAAATGATAAATGATAAACAAATAGCTATTATAGTATATTGTTTAGGAACTAATGACAAGGAAAGACACCTGCACCTGTTTGGCATGGTAATACTGAAGTATGTCCACTTTCAGCCTAATTCACAGGAGCGGGATTGCATAGGGACGCCTGTTAGCTACTTCATTGGACAGCTGTCTGTGAGAGCAAAGTGAATAACACATGTAAAGACTGGTGCTTTGCATAAGAAGTGTTGAGGGAAAGTATCTGCTATATTTAAATTAGCACACGTCATGGGCATCCCTCCTCCACTGCAGCCTTATCTTCCACTAAGCCCGATTGCTCACACCTACTTTTCCTTTGTCTTACAGCCAGTCAGACTGGCCGAGGCGGTGGCTCAGGGGTCAAAGCACTTGCTTTGAAAGCATGAGGGCCTGAGTTCAGATCCCCAGCATGCCCGGAAAGCCAGATGCGATGGTGCACATCTGCAATCCCTGGGCTCCCCTGGCCTTCCCGTGGGAAGTGGAGAATCTCAGGATTCTAGTGTGCGCTGTGGCAAACAAGGCACGCCGTGACAGCCAACCCCTGAGCTTTCCCTACTGCCACACACCTGCCATGGTATTCCACGTGCCTACACACAAACACAAACACACACAAGGCTAAAAACTCAATACAGAAACTGCAGTCCAAAGGATGGCTCACATTCTCTGAAGCCTCCACTACTTGCCCAGTGGTTGAAGCCATTCTTGTTGTCTGGTTCTTAGCAAGGCTCTGTCCTTCAGTGACCTTTCCTGGTCTCTGTGACAGTGGGTGGTGTCAAAATAATTCACTTACTGAATAAGCACTAAACTATAACTGTTTGTTTTATTACATAAAAGAAAAAAATTAAAAGAACAATTATAAATCTTTTACATCACTTTCAGTAGAATTTCCAGAGAAAAAAGTAATCATTCAATAATGCTCTAATGAATACAAATATATTAGGATCCATTTGCTGGCAACATCAACATAGCGTACATATAGACTAGGAGCCAGACCCCATTCAGGAAGGGAACTTCATTAGCATCTTCCCCTCGGTTCATCAACAGTGATTCCCAGAAGTGGTACAGACAGCTCCGTGTTGACCTTTAAGTCTTCACTGTGGGGGCCCAGCAGCCAGTTCCCAGCCAGATGTGGCTGCTCATTAAACTGGCTGAAGACCTTGAATGCTCTTTGAGTTTCTTTCTCTGCCACTGCTCTTGAGAGGCAAACTTGTGGTGGTAGAGTTCTGAGGGGCTGGTCTGGAATTCAATATGCCATTCGTTAATGGGAAGGGAAAGATGGTGTTGACGGGCAAGCGTTCTGTTCCAACACAGCTGACGAGAAACCACTTGGTCGACTGTTATCTTCCATGTTGCTGATGTCAGTGATGATCCTACATTGGCACTCTCTGGGATGCGTCAGCCTCTAAGAGGGACTGGCACTTCCTGATCAGTTGGGGTCCCTAGGGAAAAATGAATAGGCATACCTCTGATTGGGAAAGGAAAGTCAAACTCCTATGGTCTTGATCCCTAACCAGAAAAGTCTTTGCACTCCGCTCTTTGTTGGATGCCTGAGGCAGCTGCATTATGCCCCATCCTGCAGGTATCAGACTTAGCAACAGACCCCATCTCTTAACTAAGACTCAGTGAATTGTAAGCCCTTTCTCTCTTTCAGGGAATCAGATCTGAAATATTTTCGTCTCTTCTCAAGACCACCAGCCTCTTTTGCTGCAGGATAATGCACACATACATGTGCACACTACAAACAGACAAACTCATATACACATACACCCACATGCACAAATACACATAGCACACACACACACACACACACACACACACACATACATGAGATGTATCGCGTTCCTTCACCCGTGGCATTCCTTGGGAAAATGCTAAGAGTACATTAATTCAGTCCCTCCTCCTGGCCTCAAACATCATCACACTCTATCAACCTTTTTTCAGGCTTGCTTTGACAAACCCCTTGGGACTTTAAGAAACTCCTCCTCCAATTATCTGGAAGTTTTTATATCAGTTTTCATGGACAATTACTGCATGAGCTTAACCCAAGACTATTGTGGGAACTCCTTTAGCCAATAGCCTTTTAGATACCAGCCCATTTTGGGTGTGGTTGGAGGTGCTATAAGCGCAGACAAAAAACCATGCATGGCCCCCCATCACCCACCCCCCGCTGTATGTGGTTCCCAGCTTCCAGTGCACACAGAAGACCGCAGATCTCTACACTACCATGAGTTTTTTCCCCAAATAAATAAACCTTTGCTATACTCCATTCCAGGCTATTGTGGAACTCTTTAATATGCCTATATTTTAGTGCCCAACGTGGGACTCGAACCTATGACCCTGAGATTAAGAGTCATTCTCTACCAACTGAACTAATAAAACCTTATTTGATTACCATTTTTCAGAAACTAATAACAACAGAAGTCTGTTCTGCACCTATCTTTTCTGACACCGTTTGTCCCTAAAATGCAATTGTTATGATCACCAGCAATATGCAAATAAGTCTTTTGCTAAGAGAAGGTTGGGGGAAGGCGTTCAGGAAAACCATTTTATTTGTTTGCAGTGTTGTGAACTAAAGCCATGACTGTGTGCTACGCAAATGCTCCCTCAGGAAGCTATATAGCTATGTCCTGAGCCCAGAAAAGCAGTCAAAACATAAAGGAGGCCCTGAAATGAGAACCACATGGCCCAAGATACAGCCCACACAAGACTGAGGGAGGCAAACAGGCACAGGCTATGTGTGCGTGCTCACTAACACTTTCAACCACAGAGTTTGGAACGTTAAGACAAGAGGATCACCATGAACCCCATGTTGGCCTTGGCTACACAGTGAGTTTCAAGCCAAACTGAGCTATGTGATGACACCCTTTCTAAAAACAAATTTAAAAATTAAAAAAATAAAAAAAGCTCCTATGATAGAATGGAGGACAGGAGGAAGAGGGGTCTCTTCCTCACCCTGCCAGGATTTCCAGTCCTTGGCCTCTGAATCTAGGCCTGCTGCGGACCACTAAGCACACCGAAACTAACATTTATGATGAACATCTGTGTCCCCTTTCAACTCCTTGTGACATGGTTATCAGTTTGTCTTCATTCTTTACACTCCCACACAGGACAGTTTGATGACTTTTTTGCAGGCATGTTTAGAGGGCAGAGAAGATGGCTCAGTAGGTATAAGCCCTTGCATGAAGTCCTGGCTTTTGATTCCCAGCACTCACGTAAAAGCAGACAGTGGTTGTTCAAACCTATGACCCCAGCACGCATGTGCAGAGACAGGTGAGCAGAGACAAGCAGCCAGAGGCAGGAGGATCCCTAGGCCTGGTGGACAGCCATCCTCATCCAAACTATGAGCTCCGGGTTGAAACACTGTCTCAAAATATAAGGCGGAGTGTACTAGAACACGACACGCAATAATATCCTCCTGTGACCTCTGCATGTGTGTGCGTAGGCCCACATCCATATGTATACACATACCACTCTCCAAAACAAAAATGAAATAGAAATAAACATGTTTCCCATCTCTTCTGATATCACGGTATAATAACAGTAAAGGACTACAAAAAATAAAATCCTGTCAATGATTTAAAAAATAAAACATCACAATTAATGTTAAGATCTGATCATCAATTTCAGTTCAAAATAGAGTAACTGTGAGTGACGTTGGCCAGAGTGTGACCGTGGAGCTAGAAGCTCTGAGCAGCAGTGGGAAAAGGTGTGGCAGCAGCAGCAAAAGCCTGGAGTCCCTGAGCCCAGCTCCTCTGTGCACCCAGCGACTCAACCCTCACCGACCTGTCTTTCCCCACTTCCCATTTCTGAGATGGGCCAGCCCTGCCTCCGTGACTGAGTCTGGTTTGGATGCTCTTCACTTAGCCTCGCAAGTACTAGAGTTTATAAGCATCAACCTGACTTCCCAGAGTCCCAAAGTTCCCAATGTCCTCTCCATAAGCTTGTTTCCATTTAGGTTAGCCAGAGTTTAACCCTATAATTAACAATGAAGGAATTTCTGCTGGCAGACCAGCAAAGGTACTGTGAAAATGTGGGGAGGAAAAAATCTTTGAGAAATGCCACCGTCAGCTGTGGCGGCCCAGGCCTGTGAGCCTGGCCCCAGGAACCTAAGGCAGAAGGACTACGAGTGCAAGGCCTGCCTGAGAAACTTGATGAGACCCTGCATAAATACTTTAAAAAAATAAAACAGAGGTTGGGAGTGGTAGAGCACTTGCCTATCATCTCTCTCTCTCTCTCTCTCTCTCTCTCTCTCTCTCTCTCTCTGTGTGTGTGTGTGTGTGTGTGTGTGTGTGTCTGTGTGTGTGACTTTCACCCAGGTATTCATCCTGAAAAAAAATCCACAAATGTTCATCCTGACACATAAGTTTAGAAAATAGTGATCAGAAAAACACTGATGACAACTTATGATGGAGAGGATGTGGGGTAAAGGGAACACTTCTGCATTGCTGGTGGCAGTGCAAGCTGCTACAGCCCCTCCGGATATCACTATGGCGATTTCTCAGAAAATTAGGAAACAACCTTTCTCAAGACCCAGTAATACCAATTTTGGGTATATATCCAAAGGATGCTCAATTGTACCACAAGGACATGTGCTCAGCTATGTTCATAGCAGCATTGTTTGTCATAGATAGAACCTATAAACAACCTAAATGTCCCTTGACTGAAGAATAGATAAGGAAAATGTGGTACATTTATATAATGGAGTAATACACAGCAGAAAAAAGACATCTTGAAATTTGCTGACAAATGGATGAATCTAGAAAACATCATATTGAGTGAAGTAACTCAGTCCCAGAAAGACAAATATCAAATGTATTCAGTAAGAAGTGGCTTTTAGACATAAAACAAAGAAAAACCAGCCTACAAATCACAATCCCAGAGAACCTAGACAACAAAGAGGACCCTAAGAGAGATATACATGGATCTAATCTACATGGGAAGTAGAAAAAGACAAGATCTCCTGAGTAAATTGGGAGCATGGGGACCAGGGGAGAGGGTAGACGGGAAGGAGAGAAGAAGGGAGGGGAACAGAGAAAAATATATAGCTCAATAAAAACAATTAAAAAAGAGAAAATACCGATCAGAAAACCCAAAGCAACTGAAGAAGAGCCAAGCATGAGATAATAAAGTACTCTAGTTTGCCCAGGGATGCCCACTGAAACCAGGCCAGAGTAGGGTTTAAGATGAACTCAGTCCAAACTGAAAGACAATGCAACATTCTAGTGCAGAAACTGTGGAAGTCAAACCCTGAGTCAATGGTATGATAAAAGTAGGGGCTTTATGCTTTGTTTGTGAGCATGGGAAAGGGCCACTACATGCTCTCAGGAAGCTATAATTCAGACTCATAAAACCAGATGTGGCATGATTGTGTGCGGTTAATGGCAGACTACCAAAGAGACACGACGTCCCTGAATGGCAGCAGCTGAAATGCCTCTTTGGAGAGCTAGCAGGGGAGAAATAGCTGACCCTCAGCAGCCTGGCCTGCCACTGTGAACAGGATTTCCAGGAAACGTGCCTTCGCACAGACTATTTTAGTAGCAGCCTGTTAGCCAAGCGCATACATGTTACAGTTACAAAGCAGGCTCTTTCTTCCAGGCAACATGGAAGGAATGACTTCCTTTTGTTCCCACCTTTAAGATCTCCACTGTTACAACATGGAAAGAATGCATGGAAATAAGGAAGCTTAGACGTGTTCATCAAGTTTAGGGGAATCATTAGATGCTGAGTAAAGCTGAAAAAGCAAAAACTTGAATATAACCAACTAGTGGACTAATAATACTTTAACTGAGAGAGAGAGAGACAGACAGACAGACAGACAGACAGAAAGAGATAGACTACAGGTGTAGGTATAATGAGTATAGGTACACTATATTAATTAAGTGATAATAATATTTCTTTAAATTACTCCAAGATTATAATCACAAAGGGATGAAAAGACTGCAAATGATTTGTCTCTTAGAAAAGGGGAATGTGCCCTCCTCCTCTTCATTTGTTATAAACCACATCATGCATTACTTAATTTTCAAACTTGTGTAATTAATCAAAAGAAACTAGGGCCAGTAACTCAATGTGACTTGATCAATAAATATTTAGCTAATTCTCTTGCTTAATCAGATCATCGTTTTCTCTTCATAATTATAGCATGCAATTGCCGTAACTGACAGTAGACTCACTAAGCTGGGAAGACTCAGCACTTACATGGAGCCTACACTGCTAACTTCATGGCTTCTTTCTGCATTAACGCGTGCGAAGCCACATCTCAGGGCAAAATTTAACCTTTCCTATTCACTTCAGGTTGATCAACAACCACATTTCATGACAACTCAGCTAACTCTGTTAACTTTGCTCAAGTCTCATATTCAGGGACTTGAGAAACAGCTGGGCTGTAGTTACTCTTCCTCACAGTAGGGTTCACGTGATTAGACTTAAGAATCTCTGCTAAGAGAACACTCTCCTTGTGCCTGCTAACGACTGTAGTTCTGTTGCTTCCTGAACTCTGAGGTCTTTCTCCTTGGACTGTCTAGATTCGACCTGGTTTGCCAGTAGATAGGGAGAGCCTCTACACGTTTGGCTGTTTCATCTTCATCACGAAAAATAAGCCAGCTCCCGAACTGTCTCATCTCCGTGTTTTCTTCTCTGGCCAACATTCTGACACTGACTCTGGCTCGTCTCCTCTTAGAATTTCCTTTGGCTATGGGGTCACATCTTATAGCGTATCTTCTGTCCTATTTAAAACAGTTCTTTCCCCTCTCACAGGCCCTAGGAAGAAGGCGAGTCTCAAGCTCACCCACTTTCTCTTTAAGCTGGCAGAACAGGTTTACCTGACCGAGGGTTACAGTCTCAGGAAACAAAGAAAATGCCTTCCAGGTGTTGGCGGCAGTCAGCTCTTGCAACCTCCTCAGGGGGCCGGCAGGCCGAGCCCTCTCCTGGAATCTCAGCTCCAGGAAGACTCTTGGGACATTCCAACATTCTATGTATTCTTTGTCGCTAGTCAAACCCAGAATCCGTCTACCAACTTAGAAGCCAGAGGTATAAACTTCTAAAGAAAAGACTTCAAAATAGTCTCATCGTTGATTTCTATCTTTGTTAACTAAGTCTCTTTGAGCATTACAAGGTTTGTTTTTAAAAACATTTTCTAGTCTTAAATAATCATCTTTAATATTCTCCCAAGCCTCTCTTTTTCTTTCATTACTATGTTGTTTTCCAGTCGTTTCTTTATTTCTACAGCTACTGTTGGTTCTGGCTTCTCACCCAAAGCCAGACCTATGGAAATATTGGGAGAGAGAGAGGGTAAATGTCCACCTTCACAGTTTTACTTTAAGTGAAAGCCATACACATTTAAATTTGAATTTTTATCTTTTCTCAACCTTAGGATGGCTGTGCTCTCCCGACAGTTTGCACTCAGCACCAAGGCAGGTGAATAGCCTCACTAAGCTCTGCTGTGTGGCACTGGCATCAAATGAACGCTTAACTTTTCTTCCAACTTAGAGCGGATCTATCAGGACAGAGCCTCGTGGTTGAGGGGGATCTGTTCGACAGATGGCTTACTGGAGGCATAAAGTTCAGAGAAATGGCAGAAGGGAGCCACAGTGAGTAATCAAAGCCATAATGAAGGTTATTATCTTTGCAAATATTTCAGAGAGCATTGCTAAATGTAGCCCCAGCCCTGGCTAGCCCCAGCCTGCCTTGCTCAATGTAGAGGGGCCTGTTTTTTAACGACATAGTCACCTGCCCCTGCACAGACCCTATTACCTAGCGCATCTACCTCCCAGTCAAGTTCGCAGATAAGCTGGCCCTCCCGCTCTCCCACGTGGACGCCTCCTCGCGGACACTTTCCGCGAATTTGTGGAGTTACATCCTACGGCATGCTAGGCAGCTTAGGTTGCACAACTTTCCAGTCCTGTGAAAAGTCACATCCATAACTAAACACAGTGACACTAATTATAGAAAAACGGTCCCATGATGATGAGTTTAGAATGCGCGTGTGTGGGAGTTTAATATGTGTGTGGGTTTAGCCTGTGTGTGTGTGTGTATGTGTGTGTGTGTGTGTGTGTGTGTACCTGAACATACTCTGGCCCCACCTTTCCTCTTGTGTTCCTCAGCCACTCTGTTCATGAAGTTCTGTCCACAGAGGAAATAGAATCCTCAGTTTATGCTCTCAAACAACAGTAAAGAATTCTTCCTGATTGTACCCCAGAAATTCCTGGGCGGAGCGGGGGGAGGGGGACTCACAATTTTCTCTAGCAGATGTTTAAACTGTCTTTTTTTTTTAATTTCCAATTTTTAAATGACTCTGTTTCTCTACCACTAGACTAGGCCTTCAATCCATTCTCCCGCCTTGCTTGTAAGCATCCCCTCCCCTCTAGTACCATAGTTATTGTGTCTAATTCTTCTATTTTTGTATGAGTCTCCTAATTTCTCCAAACATGCATAAATATTAAGATACCCAGAGCCCAGGCATAGCATGGCCAGTCACTCCTACACATCTAGTCCTCGAGCAGAGGGAAAGGGTTTCCCTTGCAGTAACAGTCAGCATCCTCTGTTGTTTACACAAGAGACAGGATACCTCTTCCTGAAAACACGTTTCCTGCTTTTCTGAGTGGCAGCACATCTCCACCAGCTGCGTGAACCCCGCGCCAATGGCCTGGAATGCATCCTCTGCTGCTTGTGGCTTCTGCTTCACGAGGTTACTGAGGAGCCTAAAGCGGAAATAAGGGGGGTTGGGGCGGGAGGTTAGCACCTGAGTTGACAAGGTCAGCTGTCTTACTGGCTTAGATCCACGGACCATCCTTGATGGTCCATATCCTATGCTCTCATGCTTCCACGCTCTTCAGTTAAAGATACTGAAAAGGGACATGATGGCCTCATGGTACACACAATGTTCATCTCTAGCTTCATCTTTCATAAGCATTTTTCCGCCATTCTACCTTCTTAACATAAAGGTCACATGGCTTTAGTGATCATTACATAATTCTTGCTAAGGTGAGCAGCCTTGTTTGCTGGCATTCTCTTGCACATGAATGAAAGGCAGTACCTTAGGGTTCCCTGTTTCACTTTGCATTCTGAGCAACTAACTTCCACATGAACATCACCGGTCTGACGTGGTGGAAACCAAGAGCCTCCTGCATGTGTTTAATGACAACACTTGTAAGTGAGTCTGATGATCCAGTGGCTTGCCTGACATCTCAGAATTCCCTCATGGATGACTCTCTCACAGCTAGCAAGAGAGTTTCAGCCACCATGTTTTCCTTCCTCCCTGCCTCTTTCCTTCCCTCCCTCTCTTCCTCCTTCCCTTGCTTTCTTTTCTGCTTTAGGACAAGAGAAATTTAACCACTAGGAAAATGAGAAGGAAGAATAAAGTAACAGGAGGCTGGGAATGTGACTCAGCCAGGAAGAGAGTTTGCTGCAAAACAGGAGAGTCTAAGTTTGGGTCTCAGCATCCACCTAAAAAGCCAGTTTGGTCCCCAGTCGCTTGCTTATAACACCAGCACTGTGCGATTGGTGGAGACAGGAGGGTCACGCAGGGTCGGGGAGGGGGGTACGGCTGCCAGCCTGGATCCTGATTCAGTGAGAGACACTGCTTCAGAGGAATTAGACAGAACATGACAGAGCAGGATGCCCAGCATCATCCTCTGGCCTCTGGACACGCTCACACACATGCATATACCACACATGAGCACATGTGAGAGTGCTCACACACATGTACATGTAAAGAAAGAATCGGGACGTATGCATTAGTCAATATTATACTACTTATCTCAAAACCACGTTTGGTCTCTTTCAGATGAACATTGATAATACCCAGCACTCAGATATGTGCTGTAAATGGAAATAAAAGCAAACACTTCAAAGTTCTAAGCCATTACTTCTCTGACAGTCTACACCCGGGTTCGGACAGTCACAATTCAGGATTTCTGACTCAAAAAAAAACAACTGAGGATACTAATTAGGTATTAATATTGGGAGTGGGAAAACTCTAGAGCCCACCCATCCTGGCTCACTAGACAGACATGGCTTGGCTCTTGTGGCAGAACTGCACTGTGATCTTTTTCATCAAATAGATACAAAGACAGTCGAGGGCATGCTATGATCTGTTTCTCTGTCCCCATGACACTCAGGTCCAAGCGTGGCTCTCCTTGCTGTCTCAACACAACTGGGAGCTACCAGAAACAAGGGGGCTCATGGGGACTTTTGTTCCCGAGACTGGGATGCTCCCTGCTCTTTCTTGCCTCGTAGCCACTCCCACACATGTCCCAAACATTGGTGATATAGACCAAGTCCTGGGCGGCAGGCAGTGTGGTCACCAGCAGGACATATTGGGCTCTAGAAGTAAGACGGAAACACAGTAAGGAGAATGTAGCCATCTTCGCTCCCCAAATCCAGCTTAAGTGGTGCCCACAGGTCCTCGAAACCTTGAGTGAGTACAGACTGCAGACTCAGCATCAAGTGATAAAAGCAGACTTGCAGCTTGGTATGGTGCCCATCTGGCATGCATCCTTCAAACTCCTGCTTCTGCCAGGCATGATGGTGCATGCTGTGAATCCCAGCATTTGGGAGACAGAGTAAAGAGGCTCTGTGAGTTCAAAGCCAGCATGGCCTACAGAGAAAGTTCAGATCAGCTAGAACCAATAGAGAGTCACTGTCTCAGAACACAGAAATTCCTAGATTTCCTACCTCAACCCATCTCTTCCCAGTGCTGAGAAAGTAATGGCTGTCAGCAGTGAGACAGCACAGGCCACACTGTCTTCAGAAGCTTCCAGAAGTCATGACTGGATTTCGAAGCACAACATTAGCTACTTCTGAGAAGTGGCAAGATAGAGCCAAGGAAAGTCTGGCTCTTCATCTAAGCCCATGTGTCCCCTAGTTCAAGATCCTAGGATTGTAGCTAAAACCAAATATGGTAACAGAGAGTATATATGAAAAATTTGTTCACAATAATTTATCAAATAAATTGAAGATAATTTTTATATCCAGCAATAGATTGGATTCATATAACAGAACATTACAAAACCATTAAAACGCTGTTATAAAGAATAATTAATGACAAAATGTATATAAAATAATGCACACTGTATTTAAGGAGAAATATTTAAAATAGTGTGGCTGGATGTAGCTTTCCTAGGACGCCTGTCATTGCCGTGCCTCAGGTAATGTGCCCGTACTTTTAGTTATGATATTCAGTGTTATTTCTGTTTTCATCAGAAAGTATCCTTCATTTTGCATTTGCAACAGTGGTCTCAGATTCTTTGGGCAGATCTCACAAATTTGTAGGTGAGCCTCCATCCTAGAAGTCATGTCTGCCTAGTGAGAGAGAGACTGGTCCATGGAAGCAGGGAGAACTCAGTAGTGATTTGCTGGGTCTCTATTGGACTCCGTTCCAAATCATACAGGGATGGGTGTAACTAGCTCATTGGAAAAGTACTGAGAGGGTGTTTTTCTCTGAAGTCCTGCAAACCATTAAGGCACAGCTACACCATGGCAGCACCTCTGAAAGCATGCCATTCTGGGAGGAGGGGAGAGGAACAGCAGCTTGGCAGGTGATGAGGTCGTTAAGGGGCCCCTCCCAGTGAGTCCGGAGCAGAGTGCTGTGGTTACATGCCTGGAGAGCTTTGGGGAACTCTCGGAGTAGCGGAACGCCTCATGAACTCCCTCCTGAGGACTATAAAGGATCGCTGGTACAGAAATGCTACACAAGCAGGCTATAGCAGGAGCCAGCAAAGCCCTGCATTATTAATCGAATAGGACCCAAAGGCTGGTGGGCAGGCAGGAAGCAATATGCGGAAGTGTGCACCCACCCTATGAATATGACATCGTAAATTCCTAAGCTGCACATGGATTTATAGTGTGTGTCTCTATACTGTTGGGCTTGAATGACAGATTTTTTTTCTATTTGTCTGTATTTTATAAACAATCACAGTTGCATTTATTCTCAAACAAAACAATATTTTTAAAAAGTCAGAATATACAATTGCTCTAGCCAGCAGTTCTATAGATATTCAGTCTTCATTCTTTATTAGACCTGACCTGAAACCCTCTTGTAAATGCTGCACGTTTCTCTCTCCGTGCCAACTATGTATACATAGTTTGGGTGTATGACCCAATCAGTTTATGCCGCCTTTGAATACTAATTATCAGATTGTAGCAAACTGATTATTCAGAGTGAGAAATACAGACGTCTTCCCACTGCGGTTTGGTGGGGTTTGTCTCAGAATATATTTTCCTACTGAAACAGAATCGCTTGTGTCACTGAAATGCACTGGGAAGCCTGCAAAGGGACGAGTTTAACTCAGGTCCCAGGCCACAGAAACTAACCATCGTGGAGAGCCTTGGAGAAGATCAAATCAAGAACCTTGGCAGCCTGCACCATGTGACTTCCCTGGGTGTAAACATCTGCTTGCAGTTCCTCTGTCTAGCCTGGGTCTTTAACATTCCAAAATAATGGAAGGAGACAGGAATAGATGGCTTACTAAAAGACTGAGAATAGAACCTACTGGAGCATCTAGCACATTGAAAATACTCAGTGAGTCTCAAAAGAAAGAACAATCTGTGATGGTAGATCACACACACACACAAACACACACACACACACACACACACACGCGCGCAGAAATGACTCCCTCTTCAGGGCTCTCCTATGCCTTCACTTACTAGCAAATCATCAGGGAGTGTCTCGGCTAGTCTAATGAAGTCTTCAGTTATAATGACGCTCCCTCACAAGCACTCCCCTCTCTCTTCTCACTCACAACTGCAAGTTCCCAAACACCTCCGTGACTTGACACCTCCCAAACAAAGGCTCTAGGCTGGTCTCTGGAAATATCTTTTCCTTTCCCTCCCCATGAGCACGTTTTCGGCTTTCTTTCTGCCAGCCCTTCAGCAAGTTTCTGGATGCAGTTCTCCGAATGGCCAGTAGAGAGAGGAAGAGCACGCGGGTTGAGTTTGGTAGTTCTCCCTGTAACGTGGAGAAAAGGTCCTGTGTCTGGGCGGAAACATCCGGGAGCCTGAGACTCTGGCCACTCCGAACCCAAAAGCTGCCGTTTCTATACCGGGAATGGGGATGGGGGTGGGAGGGCTTAGGGCTGTGCTGCCTCGCTGCAGGCTCACCTTATCACGGTCACACGGGAGCGTGGGGGTGGACCTTTTGGGGTCGTTTAACCTTTCCTGTCCCCTACCTCTCCACAGCCCAATCTCGACCTGGCTGCCTCTAGTCCTCTAGTATTTTCCATACTTCACTTTCTAGTTTACCTTTTAAATTTTTATGCCCATACACGGATCCACTTAGGAAGGAGAAGACAAGATCTCCTGAGTTGTGGGGGGCCAGGGGAAAGGAGGACTAGTAGAAAGGGAGAGGGGAGGAAGGAAGGGGAATGGGGAAAATGTATAGGTCAATAAAAGCAATAAAAAAAAAATTACGTCCGGTTTAACCCTTATTACTACCAATTTGTTTTCAGGTTTTTGTTTCTACAGTATTAGTGGTCCCATCATTTCATTTAAAGCAAATGATTGTTTATATACTATTTAAAATTAACTTTCAAATTATTTTTTGTGAGTGCTTTTAAATTCTTTCTTTGAACTTCTATTACCTATTTTCTTTTCTTCAGTACTGGGGATTAAAGCCAAAACCTTACTCTGGAGGAGTATATGCCCAGCTATCTACTCTGTACACACTGAGCTGTATCCCCGGACCTCTTTGTATTTGTTTCAGATTTTGAGACAGTCTCTCTACGTAGGCCAGGCTGGCCTCAAACTCACTGGGTAGCCCAGTATTGCCTAGAACTCACTGTCGGCCCTCTGAATGGCTAGGACTCTAGGTTTTTTCCAGCAGGTTCGGTTTCTATTTCCTTTTTATCTCTTACTTCTCAGCTGTTCTGCGACCCCAGCTTCTGCTTCTGTACCTGTCCTGCCTTCCTTTTTCATCCCTAGGTTCTCCACAATTAAGGGGTCACCTACCTCACAAACATACAGTGAGGACTTAATGAAGTAACAACGCGAAATGGTACTGAGCTATGTTCAGGGCACTTCTGCAAAGACCAGCAAACCCTACTTTCTAGAAAGTAATTAACTTCTTATATTCTCACATCAAGCCTGGACTAATTGTGCTAACTTACAGTAGCTTTTAGTGGAAAGATCCACTATTTAGTGTTTTATGTTTGTTAACTACTTTTCCATGGCCAAATATAAGTTTGCAAGGCAACGGTCGTCGTTGCTCTCATCGTTCCCTAGAAGTCAACTACAGATTAAGTTATTATATTTAGGATTAAAATAAAACAACTCTGTCTCATTTTCACTTAACCACAAGGTAATAAGAATATGTTCATTCTTATTATTGGAGGGAGGAAAAGGAGGGAAATGATGTAATTATGTTATAATCTCAAAAATTAAATTATATATATATAAAAGAATGTGTCCATAGCACAGAGTGCCTGTGAAGTATTTTTCCCTGAAGTAGAACTGTGATGGGAATTGGTCAGAAAACAGACTTCTAGGATGAGAGGATGAGTTTCTTAATAATTAAACGTTTCTAATGATGTAACAGACAACAGTAACTACAAATAGCTATGAAGAAACGATGGAGCATGTTTTGGAAGGGGTTCCTAAATTCGGTGTTGGGAGGACTTGCCACTCCTCCAATGATGCTTTGACTTCATGTTTTCATAGAAAATGGCTTTGGAATGCTTAGGTGCTGTATTGGAACATCTAAGGACAGCTTGTCTCCTTGTATTATAGTAAGTCACTGCAAAGCTTTATCTAGTGCAAAGAATTGCATTTAGAGAAAAAGGAAGGACAGGGGATGTAGCTCAGTGGGGTAGTGCTTTCTTAGCAAGCATGAAGTTCAGAGTTTGGTCACCAGCAGGGTATGCCTCTGATCTCCACACTCCAGGGGTAGAGCAGGAACAGTGATTCAAGATCGTCCTTGGCTACATAGTGAGTCGAGGCCAGTCTGCACTCTATGAGACCCCACCTCAAGAAGGAAAGAAATCGAGGATTTGAAGACTTGCACTCATTGATACTGCATTTCTACCAGCCGCCCCGCCTACTATCATCCAAAAACCTGCTCTTACGAACAGAGGCTCCTAACAGCTGCTGAAGATGCTACAAATGAATATAAGGACATGCTATGAGGTAATATCCCCCGTTCTGATGGAGTACTCCAAAAGACTTTCTCCACATACAAGTCCCGTGAAATCCTGGTAAATTTCTGCTGTCTAAATGAGTCCTTTTAAACTTTTAATTAATTAGTGTGTGTGTGTGTGTTTGTCTCTGTGTGTGTGTGTGTGTGTGTGTGTGTGTGTAGTGCACATGAGTACAGAAGAGGGTATCAGATCCCTTGTAGTTGTAATTACAGGTGGTTATATCTGACATCCACCTGACATGGATTGCTGTGAACAAAACTCAGGTCTTCTCCAAGTACAGTGTGCATCTTAACCACTGGACCATCTCTGAAGCCCCCTCACTGATTCATCTGATTCATAAGAAGAACAAACTGAACAGATCGCTTTATTGCAAGATTTTTCTGACTTCCATTTCCAGTGTATAGTATCACTTTCCCAGAAGAGAAAGGAAATACACCACCTCCAAACTTCTTCAACAGAATGCTTTCTGCATAGAAAACCATATCAGACTAATGCCTGGACATCAACATTTTGGAGAAATTATATTAATGTATCCTCTGCCAATATTTTTTTTTAATTTGCTTCATTCTCATTAACTGACCAAGCAGGGATTGCAACACAGTAGCTATACTGACTAATTTGTCTAATCGATTTAATTCCATCTGTGTTTCAACAGAACATTTAGTACTGTATTCATTATGCAGAAGCCATTTCAGTAACTGCCTTAAATTTCTCCCAATCAGCTCCCTTGTTGGTTGCAAACACCAACGTGAACACAGGCTTACTTTTGCTTTTCAGTTTGGAGCTCCTCCTCCTGAGCTCGGCACAAGTCCTCCTTAAGGCTGATGACTTGGTCACAAGACAAAGGTGGAGGAACGTAAGTTCCGTCGACTGGCAGGTCATCAAAGCAGGGCTTCCTGAAGGCATAGGAGTCACAGCAGCGGCCCACTCCAGCGTTGACAGGCTCGGCGTCATGTCGCCTGCACAGAGCTCCAAGGATCAGCTTGTCCTTTTCCAGAGGAGAGTTAAAATGAGAGCGGTGAGATCAGGTTGTCCTTTAGCCACAGACAATGAGATTCTATTTGCGCATGCCCAGGTTGGATGCGCACCACCTAGCACCACCTGGATTTCACTTTGCGGGGATACAGAAGGTTGTCAGCGTGGACTGAGCCACAGCTTGTGCTCCGTCTCGTGTCACTGTTGGGCTAAGGTGCCCTGGAGTCATCTCTATCACCTGATAGACCAGCTTCAGCATGAGATTACAGCTTCTTAGGCCCATCCAACCCACCAATTCAGCATCAAGCAGCAAGCCCACCTGTAACATGAAGGCCGGCTTGTTGGGGTATCTGTCCCACCCAATATCCCACAACCAGCAACTCCCAAGGAAAATCACACACAAGACTCAATAAGATTATAAACTGATTGGCCCATTAGGACAGGCTTCTTGTTAACTCTTATAGCTTATATTAACCCATTATTCTGATCTATGTTAGCCATATGGCTTGGTACCTTTTTCAGCTGTCAGCTCACATGTTGCCTCTTCGGTGGTCTAGGCAGGAATGGCAGAGGGAGCTTCCTGCTTCCCAGACTTTTCCTGTTCTCATCGCCTCACCTCTACTTCCTGTCTGGTTGACCCACCTATACTTCCTGCTTGGCCAATCAGCGTTTTATTAAAATACATGATTGACAGAATACAGACAATTCTCCCGCACCACCCACCCTATGGCCTGTGTGACTCTATGTGCAGCTGGGGGTGGGACTTCTCCACAAGCTCCAAGCCAGTGTCTTCCAACATTATGTAACAGATATTGCAACCGACTGCAGAACTAACACACAGCAGGTCCTCCAGGGGTGTTCAAAGGTGTGAGCACGGAGTCTGGTCCTGTTTGCGTTATCTCCCTCATTTTCTTGACCTCTTCTAGAACTGTCTCCTTACCTTGCTCCTGCTCCGGGGCCCACAGCACAAGTACCCACCCTAACACTGTCTGTAAACTCAGCCTGTGTGACTCTCTGAGTACACTAGCCACCCAAGTACCCTGTCACTCATGTTCTCATGTTTGTGAGGATGAAGTTATCCCAACCACTCAACACAAATGTTGAATTATGAATTTGTCTATTTTAGAAGTAACAAGGCAACTTTCCCAAAGCAAAGCTCTAGGAACATACAAATCTAATCCGATGAACTCCCCAAGAAAAACATGATTCCATAACAAAAAATTATAGTTAAAAATGAAGGTAGTGTTAGATATTAACTTTTGATTTTTAATTCAAATAACTATGCTTTATTAGAAGAAAGGTTATAGCAAGTCAGCTTAAAGAATATAGTCTACTACGAGTATAGGACAAATGAAATTAGCAGGAACGCTGAGGCCACATGTCTTAAGAGACCTAGAATCTAAATCTCAGAGGCTTGAGCACCGTGCTGCTCGGGGACAGCCTCCATGGTGAAGCAGGAATGCTCATAACCATGCTTCAAGAGACCTTGAAGGAAATGTACTCAAAGCCATCCCTGCCCTTCTTTTCATCTCGTGTGAACCAATCTTCCTACTTTAATTCAACCTCTCTAATATTTTGATGGAGGAAAAGGATAGGTTATTACTACAGCCAGTTGTCTCTAGTTCTAGGGCCACGTTGCTCCTTCTGAATGAGCACACTTAGGTACTAACAGATTACATATTATGGGCTCCATTAACGTTAGTCAAACATCTGCAGCATCTTTGAAGCTGCCCCCAAAGTCAGTTTGGTCAACTTTAAAACCCAGGCAGTGGACTCTTGTAGGTGACCAGGGGGAAGTTTTGTGAAACTAATGACACAGGCTTGAGAGGGGACAGTCCTCCCCTGCTGCTAAGTAAAGCAGTCAGCATGAGCTGCCTGGAAGCATCTCCCCTGAGGACTATTACTCCCCACTGGTAGGTCATAGATATGCCCGCAGAAATGAGGTTGATTCCTGGGGGCAGGGGATCAGAACTTCAGGCAGATGGTAGATGCCTCTAGGGTGACCTTACCGCATCCTCCACACAGGCAGACTGCCGCTCGTTGCTTAGTGGGCAGCATCTACTGGCAGCCGCTGCCATCTTTCTTGTGAATGCCACCAACTCCTGCACAGACAGCTGTGGGGCTTTCTTAGTATAAAGGACGGTAAGCCTAAAATGATAAGTCCTTCTTACTCGTGGTAATATGCACACATACAGATATCCATCTACACCAGCGCTTCTCAACCTGTGGGTTGTGACCCTTTGGGGGGTTTCACAGGGGTTGCATATCAAGTGTTCACATTTTGATTCATACCAGTAGCAAAATGACAGTTAGGAAGTAGCAGTGAAATAATTTTATGGTTGGGAATCTGCTATGGAATGATCCTTCTATACACTGTGTGACTATATGTCGCTATGATTGGTTTAATAAGCAAGCTGACTGGCCAGTAGTTGAACAGGATAGAGTCAGGTGGGAAAGCCAAACTGAGAATGATGGGATGAGAGTCGGAGGCATCACCAGTCAGATAAGAGGGAGCAGGAGTTGAAGATGCCATGCTAATAAAGATACCGTCACATGGCAGAGGGTAAATAAGGAATATGGGTTAATTTAAAATGAAAAAGCTAGTTAGTAATAAGCCTGAGCTATTGACTGACCATTTACAATTAATATAAGCCTGTGTGGTAGTTTGAAGTGGCTCCTGGAATGGAAAACACCACCTACAGGGCTCACCACAACATGAGAAACTGTATTAAAATGTTGCAGCATTAGAAGGTTAAGAACCACTGGCTGACAGTTTCCCATGGTATTCAACATTATCTCTGATATAAGAAGAACGAGGCATTAGACTAGGGTTAACAATCTCTTCTGCCTTCCTGATGGCTCAGAGGGTAACTGGACATGATTGTTGTTGTCCTCACACCCATGCCCTCCTCTGTCCTAACTCATTTCTAGTGGACTAATCAGGGATACGTTCAAAGTTAAAATTCAGACCTAGAGTAAGCAGTTTCTGAGAGGAGCCGCGATGAAGCTCCTAGCAACCATATGCCTCCTGTGAAGCAGCTCCCGTTCTTCAGGGTCTCACACCCCAGTGAGCAGGGGCAGACAAATACTGTGTGTGCCCAGTACAGAGAGCTACCAGTGCTATGAGCTAAGTCAGAACTTTAAAAAGGTTCAAGTCTCCCGCCAAAAACGAGGGAAGGAATTGTCTCTGCCTCCCTCTATTTTTTCTTAGTGCGTTCACTTCAGAAAACCTGAGAAGGCTTTCTCCTCTCATTGAAGTGCACACAACGCATATTTAAAAACTGATCTACATTATTATTAACTTTATAAGTCAGCAATGTCTTCTTCAGAGACCAAAGATCTAGGGACAGGCAGCTCCCCCTTTCTCCTAGTTCTTGACTGTGGGGAGAGCAAGAGTTAGGTAAATTGGCAGGTAAAGCTAGGGTGAATTTTGGCAAGCAGGCCAGTCAAATCATCTTGAGTGCTAGTCATTGTTCAGAATGAGTTCACCAGTTACTGTGAGCAAAGGGTTGTGTCTGCTTAGCTGTGGCCAGGGAGTGGGGCTTCTTTCTGGTTTAATATTTATTCAATTAAGAAGAAACTAGTCTAATTCAATATTACCTTGACAAATTTTGTTTCTAATGTTATTTCCCTAACAGGACATGAAAGACGGTATCTTTCCCACCTAAGGAGGTCAGGCAGGGTATCCTGAGGAAAGGTCTTCAGAACTGAGAAATGACAATGCCTCTAAATGAGCCAGGTGAAGGACACAGGAGGGGCAATTTGGAAAGTCATTGACTGTAGGTTTTGTTGTTGTTGTTTCATTGGTTTTGCTTTTTTTTTTTGAGGAGGGTTAGATATGAAATCAGTTTTGCATCATTTTTAAGGTAATGGCTTCTTTGAGAAGAATGCATTGTGGATTCACAAAGCAGAACATCACATTGTTTTAAAGTCATTCTGGCAATACAAGTAAAAGAAAATGAGGTGACTTGGGATAGTAAGTAGTGTTGAAGACAGAGCAACATGAAGTGGCTTTGAATAGAAAGACTACAGACCGGCTTGTTCAAGACCACAAACAACTCGAATTAATTGTCGCATTGCTAGAAGAAAACACACATGCAAGAAGGAGAGTTTCTACAGCAGCCAGGGAGAATCTCGGGCCTGGGTTCTATGTCTTCTGGAAGATTTTATTGCATTCTAAAGCTTGAGAGCCACAAATCTAATCTTTACAATGGGCATTAGCAACTGAATGCAACATAATAGAAAAGCACTGAGCCAAAAACCCCGCCTCAAAGAACCAGGATACTGTCTGTGATCCATTATTTTGGACATTTAATTTAAACTCGATATTATGAGATAATATATCAAACTGAACTTTTCTTAATACTGTGTTTCAAAATAGACCATTCTAGCAAGACCTCAGAAATTCCTCAGGTGGGCTTTATTTTTTGGTTACTTAATCCTTGATAAATAGAATTCACCAGACTCTCTGTACCCAAGATGTTCGTATTCCCTTTGACAAATAACTAAGGCATCCATCTTGGTCAACACACTAACCTTGCCTGAAAAACCTGACTTACGAGTGATAAGGAATCCTGGATTCTAATCTCTATTGCAACTTTGACTTCAAGTCACAGTCAAAGCCCCAGGGTAAAATGGTCAGGTGTGAGAGTTCATGATGGCCCTGCAGGGCCTGCTTTGCTCCTTGACCTCAGCGGCTGCTGGAAAACTGGGCTTGGAAGCAGGATGGAGGCTACCAAAGTTACATAGTTATCTGTCGAATCAGCATAGAAGGCTAGTTAATACTCAACTGAAGAGTGGGTACAAATTCTTAGAAAATCTTAGCATGGGGATTAACCAATAGGCACTGACAGGGACGGAGCCGGACCACCTGAGGAGCATACCTGTCCTGGAAGTTACTGCCTCCTAACATCCTGTGTAAGCCACAGTAGGTTCTCACACGGTCACGGCTTTCACGGACCACTCTTTGGAACATCTCTTTCTGAAAAACAGACATTGTGAATGTTTATCCAGGGTCACAACAATGTGTCTTGAGATGGGATTACATTTTCCCTAATAGTTTAATAACAATATTTGATTAACCAACTCTTTTTTTCCCCAATTATTGAGTTTAGAAAACTCAAAAAAAGGTTTTTTTTTTTTTTGTTTGTTTTCTGAGAGAGAAATCATCATGTGCTCTGTGGGAAACAAGTGAAATAGCAAGACTGAGTGTTTATCTTACCATCATATAGACTTGTTTGCTGACCTCAGTGCCAAATTCCATAACCATAAGGCAATCAGTCATCCAGCCAGAAAGAGAGAGGAAGAGGTAGCATATAGATCTTTTTACTGGTCAGTATGTGTGTGTGTATTCCAGTGTGTGTGTGTCTATGTCCATTGGTTCATTCAATGCATACACAAATATAAACACAAACTGTATAGGTATAGAGATATCGAGGTGTGATAAGAAGTTATGGTTTAATATAAACATTAACAGTCATGGCTATAAAACATGTCACAAATGTATACTGAAAGGGACCAAATGGGGTTTTCAGAGCTGAAAGTAAATCAAAGTGTTTTTGAACCGTGAAATAGATTCCAGCGAGAAGGCATTAGTAACCCTGCAGACTCAACTCTTGGACAGGAGCAAACCCCCTTAGTCAGCCTTATCCTGAGAGGCAGTGTTTGGCTTAGAGAAAATCCCCTCTGACTTGTAAGCGGGTGGCCTGGGCTCTATTCTTATCCTTGTCTTTACTGCTGGTGGCCCATTAGACAGATCGCCTGACCTTCTGAGCTTTAATCTTACCTACAGAAAGCACTTAGAAACTGCGGCATTGCCTGTTTTCCCAGGCTACCAAGAGATTGATTCAGTTGGGTGCTATGGTAAGGCTGCCATGTAGCATAACCTCTGACCACCCACGCTCTTGCCTGGGGCCGCAGCTGTAGATGTCTCCAGAAGCTGTCTTGATTATCAAGGAAGCCAGGACAGGAAGGCAGGAGCTGACACAGACATGATGGAGGGGTGCTGCTTACTGGCTTGCTCCCCTTGACTTGCTCAGCCTGTTTTCTTTTAAAACCCGGGACCACCAGCCTAGGGGTGGCCCCACACTCAAGGGGCCTGGCCCTCCACATCAGTCACTAACTAAGAAAATGCCCTGAAGGCTTTCCTGCAGACTGACCTTGCTGAGGCATTTTCTCAACAGAGGCTCGCTCCTCTATGGTGACTCTAGCCTGTGCCAAGCTGTCAGAAAACTGTCCAGTACAGTAGCCTGTGATTTCGAGCAGGTGTACCCTCACATAGCCTTCTGTCTAGAAACAGTAATACCAGCTGGACCTGCCTGAACTCAACATCAAAAGATATATACCTTTGCTCTTCCTTCTTTCTTTGTTAGTTTGTTCTTCAAGACAGGGTTTCTCTCTGTAACTGTGATTGTCCTGGAACTTACTCTAAAAACCAGGCTGCCCTTGAACTCAGAGAGATCCACCTTCCTCTGCCTCCCAAGTGCTGGGATTCCAGGCACGCACCCATACCTCCCAGATAGTCCCTGCTTTGGGTAAAGCATCAGTTAGAGTAACAAAAGTCAGAACTTCCTAGGCCTTGGTAATCCATGACTAACAATCAAAGCAAAAGCTTGCGGGAACTCTAGCTTTCCCATAAAAACACATAACAAGAGATGCTGACTGTGATCAGGCAGCTTTGTAGCTCACAAGGGAAGCTTCTTCCAAGACATGGGACCCAAACAGGATGTAGTGTTCTGCTGCTGTGCCAAGCCGGCATTTACATTCACTTCAAAGTCATGGTGCAGGGGTGGGAGGTGTCTCAGGAAGCACTCTAAGGGACAGGTCACTATGGTATGTGTGAGGGTCTGGTTTAGGGAGAAATCCTGCCCGTTGCCTAATCGTCGTGATATGCAAATTCATTTTACAAAAGAATGTGCTATTAACAGGACTGAAACTTTCACCATTTGGAACCACTAGTGAGAAACATGCTTTAAAAAACAAATAAAAAAGGAATTTACCCCTCGGCGATGGCATTCCAAAGGGTTTCCTAACTTGCAGCATTCCTCCAGTAAATGTTTATATGTTGCAAGTATTCTTAAAATCACTGGAACTGCCAACTCCAGGTGTCTCCTTGAATATTCGTAAAGGAACCTGTATTGTATAAGACACATGAGAAGACAAAGCTTAAAACCCAGAGGCCATGGATTTGTTTGGTTTTTTGTTTTCTTTTGTTTTTTTTTTTTTTTCAAAAAGCCATAATGACCATGAAATTGAACTGACTTGAAGTCATTTAGAACCTTGGGAAGCTTTCCAAGGGGCTTTATAGCTATGCTCTGTGATAAGAAAACAAAAACTCACTTTATTTCCAAAGTCACATGGTAGTAAGTGGCAGATTCAGAACTTGAACCTGAAACACTGGTAGGTTCTTGCTCAGCCTCTAGATAACTTCTAAGTCAATTTCGAGCATTTTATGGGATGACCTATTTTCCAGTTACCTTTGGGATTATTTTGTTTTCTAAAAAGACCTTACATTAATGTACTTTTGAAGCATTAAATCATCCCACCCCCACCACTTTTTAAAAAATAAGCTGTTAAGTCTGACAAGTCCAGTCATAATCTACACTTTTATCTAGGTCATTAGAAAGAAATAAAATGGGGGCTGGAGAGACGATTCCATGGTAAAGTGTACACACTGCTCTTCCAAAGGACCAGAAATTTACAACTGCTTATAACTCCAACTTAAGGAACTCTGATATTGCTAGCCTTGGCATGTGCAGAAACATACATAATAATAATTTAAAAAAGGAAAATAAAACTGATTCTAGAATGTTTTAAAAAAAACTTACAGGATCAAAATGAGATCTTTGGTGCTTCCCCATCAACTGCCTCTGTTTACCATTAGAACACACTTTCTGGGAGATCAAACCACCACGCACACAGCTTTTGAATCTCAAAATGATTCAACTCATAAGTTCACATACCTTTCACTGGGTCTAGTCTGCACAGGTCCATTGATTTTTCAATACCAAATGCAAGGTTAGGAACTTATATGAGTGGATTCAGATAGTGGTATTTAATTTTATTAGCTAGTATCAGACGTAGTTTGTAAATTATAAGTGAAGTCATCTAATGTTGAGGGAAACTCAATTCTCGTGACTTCACAAGGGACTCTGGGGGCATTCTAATAGCACAATGTTGTTGTCTTAATATAGTACATTGAAATCGCTTTGTGGTAATGCAAAAATTAACATCTACTTCTGAATAGCCACTGATGATGTTACTATCCCAACTCTTTAATGCTTAAATGGTATGTGCACTTGACAGTGTCTATTAAATTAATTAGAATAAAAGTGCTAGCCAGGAATACCAATATGATCCTCTTCTTTATCCTTGAGTCCCTTATTCCAAAGTTTGGGACACCTGACTATCACTAGTCTCTTTATTTTAACCCTACACTAGTTGTCAGTGTTTGAGAATAAAGGAACTTCTAAGTTCTCTTTCATATATTGCTTCCACCCACCCAAACCCACATTCCCACGGGCATCATGAGCGGAGATGAATAACTACTGGCAACTTCAGGCTCCGAAAAGCATCTCCTCTTGGCCACAGTGCCCATCACTGGCCCCATTTTCTTTCACGTTTGCACCATCTCTCAACTGAATCATAAGCACCCGGGAAAAGCTGCCTTACTCTTGTAGAAAGTCGTCCTGCTTGTCACTGAATTGTTTGCATGCAGACTGGTCTTCGGTAAACTTTCTGAGTGCCAAGGATGGCAGGCTGGGCTTGTCATCATTTTCTGAGTTGATAATGCATTCCCCACGGAATGGTTCTGGCTGTTCACAGCACTGAGCAAACTTGCTGGACAAGATGGCCTGGTTAGAGCAGGTGTAGTTCATAAGCTGGTCCTGGGAGACATGAACAGAACAGTTATTATTTTATTTAGTTTCAACTTAATCTGTGGCAATGAGAATGCCAACGGAAAACTTGATACTATACACTGCTCTACCCCAGGCAAAAAGAAAGGCCCAAGGAGACATTCAGCATAACTTATTTTGGAAAGAAATACTTGTCTGTTTGACCTTACTTAGAATCTCAAATATCTTATCTTAAAAAGATAGAAGACAGAGTGTATTAATGTTTCACTTTTAGTCCAAAACCCACAACCAGAGGGTTCTATTGTCTCTCTATTGTTGTTCTTATTGTAGGATCCCAGTCAGGGAAGCATTGGTCCCAGAACCACATCATCCTCTGCCTGCTACTTGGTGTAGTCCATGTTGCTGTTCTACTTACACATCTGCTTAAATGCACAGATAACTGTTTCTATGTGTGAATTAGGAACTCGAGACCTACTCAAAGAGTCCAATAAAGAAACAAAGCAACAACAAAGTGGTCCTATTTAGAAAATCGTATGATTCTTCAGAAGAAGTCAAAGGAATTGACAGTCTACAATGGAAGTCACAGTGATGGTCTTGAATGATTCGCATTATTAAAGACAATCAGACATTCATTTGAAACAGGTGAAGACAAAGCCATCCTAGAGTATTTGTTTTTATAGGTATATAAAATACTAGAGGTAAGAAAACATGACATGGTTGGGAGAGGGTCATTTGAAAGCCATTGAGAGTATTACTTGAGGCTTGGGCACGCTAGGGGCTACTAATAGGTAGATGTGAAAAGTTGATTTAACAAAAGGGAGTGAGGGAGATGAGGAGATGGGATGTAGGATTACTTGGGACAGTGGGAAATAGGATTCACTGAAACTCATGGTCAAGGATAGGAACAGACGAGAATAGTGGCTGGAGAATGAGACCAAAGAATTTCCTGGGGGTGTGCAGAGTTCAGGATGACTTCAGGCATCTATAAGACATTTACAGGGAGATTTTCCCTGAGCAGTAGAGGTACTCACAAAATCTAGGAAAGAATAACATGGAAATCTAAGAGTCATATGGAAGCCAAATCATGGAGTCAATTTGAGACTCTGAGGATGTGTGTGCACGTGCTGGTTAACTAGGAAGCCAGCATGCTCTCGGTGGCTCGGCACAATCAAGGCATAGCTCCCTCCTGTTAGGGAGGAAAGGTGAATCTCCTCCAGGCAGCAGTTCCAGGAAAGAAGAGCAGCTTTGCCACCATCTACCTGAGACTTCTGGCGTTGCCTTATCATTAAACGTTACTGGGATGAGAGGGTGGTGGGGGAGTAGGGGCCTGAGACTGAAGTATGAAGATTAACATAAGCCAAACTAGTAAGACAGATAGGGAGCTCTTCTTCCCCTGGACTTCATCTAATAAGCAGAGCGTGCTGAGAAAAATCTCTTGGCATATAAATAAGGACAAGATGATGCTGCAGAAATGTCCTAGAAAAGGTCATGACACTTAGGGGTGGGGCTTTAGGGAGGGGGTGGGGCTTTAGGGAGGGGGTGGGGCTTTAGGGAGGGGGTGGGGCTTTAGGGAGGGGTGGGGTGGGAGTGGGGCTGGAGGGTGCTTTCTCCCTTAGCTCACTAGCCTGCTCGAATTCTCATCTCTTTTGGAATAAACGATCTCTACCGCCATTTCTAACTATGCATTCCTGACACAGTTCTTTGCTGTGGGGCGCAGGAATCCAGACACTTCAACAAGTGTTCCCAGACCACCATGGCCTTTGCTTTTAGCAGGAGTGAGTGTGCTGTAGGATGGAACCCAGGTGACAGTTGTAAGCTGGACCTCAAATGACCGGAATAACCCTTAGCTAGGACTCAGGCAAGTGGCCCCAGCTAGTTTTCAGACAGGCAGGAACTACAGTTCACATCCAGAAATGGCTGAGACGGGAAGAGAAGAGAAGATTTTGCTGGTGTTTTCAGACAGACAGGAAATACAATTCACGTCCAGAAATGGCCTAGACAGAAAGGAGAGAAAGGCTTTGCTGGTTGACTCCCCAGCTCTGCCAAGGCACACGCAGAGAGAGAGAGAACAGCTGAGCACAGGCTGCCTGGAAACTGAATTTCAAAAAGGTAGTAAGAAAAGAAGAGGGAGAGGGAAGCCAGAGCAAGAGGTGGTGATGCACACCTTTAGTCCCAGCACTCAGGAGGCAGAGGCAGGAGGATCTCTGTGAATTTGAGGCCAGCCTGGTCTACAGAGAGAGTTCCAGGATAGCCAGGGCTACCAAGAAAGATCCTGTCTTGAAAAACCAAAACTCTGTTGTTGTAGAGAAATAAATTAATTCTGTGGCTAGCAGCTAAGTATGGTCCTTAAATTGCCACTTTCTGATTGCAAATTGGGGAAACTTTCTTGCCTCCTTGTACCTCAACTTCCTAGTCTGCAAAATGGGTAATAAAATAATACTTGATAAGGCTGTGGAAAATGAATGGAATAATTGTCGGGAATAAAGTAGGCATTCTAAGAGTCAGATAAAATGGAAAGGGTTAGTTTTGATACTGGTCACCGGCCTTTAAACAATTAGTGGTGCAGCAGCTACCGCACAGTTGGTTGTTCCTTCGGGGCTGCAAAGTCAGAGAGAGGTTGAGAGAAGCTTACTGAGTTTTAGTGATTGGCATGAGAATATCACATTATAACACTATAGCCATATTGCATATTAAAGTTGGGAATAAACATTCTCCTTTTAGTCAGTGCAGAGCGGGGAATCAACATGGTGAAACACATTAAGCGCTGTAAACAGTAGACAAAGCTTGTAGACAGGCAGCTCTACAGAGTGCAATATAAGGATCTTTCCTCAGAGATGAAGGAGAAAGGAGCTAAGAAGAGGGAAATCTACTAACACAGCATGCATGGTGGGAGGCAGTTGATAAAAGAAACGACTCATTTGGAAGCATGATTCAGTGGGATAGCCCCAGCTTAGGGGATGCAAGGCCCTGTGGTCAATTCTCAGCACCAGAAAGGGAAAAAATTACTGTTCAAAATAAATAGCTGTGAACACAATTGCATTTAAAAGAATGAGAATACCACCAAGCAGTCAACCAAGACATCTGTGATAGAAGCAACAGACAAAACGAAGAGGAAAATCAATATAATTAAAAGCATAAACCCAGCGAGTGAGTCCAAGAATTTGTTTTGGAGAAGGCCAATAAATTAAACCATCCCCTTTCAGAGCCAATTAATTGAAAAGAAGACCAAACACACAAGAAAAAGGGCATGCAATTACATAATTGATGGTGTTTTTATTTCAAATGATAGCACCATCGAGAGCTCTATAACCCTAAATGAGAAAATGCTAATAAGTGAGATGCTTTGAAGAGGAATTTCATTAAATCCATGACAACATAAACAGTCAAGACTCAGTCTAAACACCGAGTTGGTGCATACTGAATCAATGCCACCCCGAGAAAGATGCAGGACTCCCTCTGGCCTCTGGCCACATCACTAACCAATCGAGACATAGCCTCACTTAGTGCCTGTCCCTATGTGAGGCGCCTTATTTAGTACGGGCTGTTGTTTGCTCAACACTGAACACATAGCAGACTGCCTGGCAACAAGAGCAGGGAGGAAACCCATCTACTGTGCACATTGTTTTCTGTAAAGATGCATCATCTTGTACTTAACACAGCGTTTCAGCGCTGTATTCGGAATAACCTTGAGCATCAGAATTACCAGCAAAAAGGTCGCCATTAAGTGCACTGCATATAAAAAGAATGTTCGTCTATACTGTGAGAACTGAAGCAAATATAGAACGGTGCCTCTTTGGGCCTCGCGAAGGTGTGGTATGTGCATTGGGCGGCTCAGATGTTCGGCTGTTCTCAGCGTGTGTTAGCGTGGGAATAACCATGGAAGTGTTGTGAATATTGATTTGCATCTGAGTAAGCAGATGAGTTCAGAATTGCAGAATCCACGAGCAATGAGGTTTTGCAGGAAACGCATTAAGACTGACATACAGCAGAAGACACGGAAAAGCGTTCTGCTATTTTATGTCTCTGCCACAACCTCAGGGTTAACAGACAAGCTCAAATCCTTCCAGAACACATCAAGGGCTAGATGGCTTGGTGATTAAGACACTGGCTTCTTCTCTGGAGGACCAGGGTTAGTATTTTCTAGCACCCACTTGGCAGCTCATGATAAGCTGAAATTCCAATCCCAGTGACTCTGACCCTCTTCCAGCCCTCTTGGGAGCTGGCGCATACATGGTACACAGACATATAAGGGGGAAGAGACACATGAGATAAAAATAAATATTTTTAAAGGTAGAAAATTAAATTTGTCTTTAGAAATGAGAATACCCAAACTTTATAAGGCATATATAAACAGTAATAGCTTGAATGAGAAAATTTGAATAGATGTACATAAACATCACAAGTTCAAACATACAGCAAAATGGGATTTGAAAAAGTGGTTAAGATGTAAGGACTATGTTTTCACTATGTCTTTCTGGTGGGTGTGTAGTGTGTTTGTGTGTACATATTTTCATGTGGGAGTGTGAGCATGTGCATGCAGGTGCATGGGTTCCATGGTGCATGTATGAAGGTCAGAGGACAACCCTGAATGTCAACCCTAGCCTTCTATCTGGTTTGAAGCAGGGCTTGTTAGTCACTGTTAGTCACTGCTGCGTGAGCAGGGCTGACATGAGATCTTCTGGGAACTCTCCTGCCTCCAGTTCCCTTCTCACTGTGGGCAAGTGAGGAACATAGATGCCTTACCACCACGCCCAGCTTCATGTGAGCTCTAGTCCTCACACTTGTGTGGCAAGTACTACGTTTATAAAATCCATTGGCAAATAAGTCAAAAGACAGAAAAATCAAATGACCACTCAAAGATAAGCAAATACTGATGTTCAAACCCATCCAGACTAAAAACAAATGAGCCAGACCTCCCTAATAAAAGGGTAATAAAAACTCTTTGGGCACATAAACACTATCTTTGGCAAACCAAAAACCCCAGAGCTGTTTCCATTGCAATATGAACTGGGACAGGATTGGCAGAACAATTTACAGTTACTTGAACTTGCTTATGAATGCGAGACAATAAAATTAGGTAAGTGCAGATTGCTCTGGCTTGCCTGCTGCGGCCCATTCTGCAAGGGCAGTGGTCCTGAAGTCGTTCGCTTGGTGTGGGGATCGTTTATGTGTGAAGGAAAGGCTTTCTCAGACTTTGTTTTGTTTGAACTGGGTTCTATCAGAGCCATATGCCCCTTCACTTTTTGACCAAATGTACTCACTCTTCAGTGAGAAAGGATCTGTCAGTCTGCCCTAAGAGACGAAGCTCAGGGGGGGAGCACTTGCCTGACAGGTCAAGGCCCTGGGTTCAATACAAAGAGGCGGCACCCTCAAAACATGCCAAAAAAGTGTTGTTCATGAGTCTGGCCATTAGCCAGTATTCTAGGAATTGGGGGTGGCAGCTGCCGCTGTTCCTGAGAATGGAATATAGTCCCAATTTAGTTATAGGCCAGTTCCAGAAACCTATCCAGCTAAAGGAATGTGGGAAAAGACCAACAGGAAGGAAGAGAACCACCGCACGAGTTGGGGACAGAAAGGAGAAAGGAGGCATTCTACTGGTAAAAGGAAGAGGGCGTTACTTTTTTAGCTTTATTATTTACTGCTGTATTGTTGCTTAAGAATTTTAAACTTTTTAAAGGCTAATATGGGAGATGATGATAAAAAATATTAAAGCATTGCATATGTATGAAATTGTCAAAGAATACATTTAATTAATAAATAATTTCAATTATAAAGAGATGTCTTACCCTGCCCAGTGCACACGCCACTGTGTTTCCTTCACAACAGATCTTGTGCAGATTTTTAATATCTGTGGTCAATTTGGCAATTTCAGAAAAGTTAGCTTTAGGTTGCTTTTTAGTGAGCAGAATCAATTCTCTGTAAAGAAAATTAAGTCCATTGAAAGATTTTTCTTTTAAGATGAGAATAGCATTCTGCTTTTAGTAATTATTCTATTTTTGAGATTATAATATAATTATACCATTTCCTTCTTTCTTTTCCTCAATATTTTGAATTTCTATTTCAAGTAACACAAAGCGTCTAAACCAGCAAGGAGGTATTTTTTTTACTTTGGTTATAATACATAGACCCACACAAAGATCAAATCGCAATAATGTCCAATACAATAATCTCCATTATTTAAGGATCTGCTATCAACACCAAACTGCTGAGACACTGAAACCCACAACTTGATAACCTGAGAAACACAAGCACCCTCTCTATGACATCAACCTCATCACAAAGACAAACATATGAGGCACAGGTCTCTGTTGTGACTATTGACAAGTTTCTGGAGTTTCTCTGGAAATAAAATATCCTTGCCCTCCGGGAAGCCCAGTGCTGCTATCATTCACTTTGGAAAACAGTGATAAGAAAAAAATACATGGGTCCAGGCTGGTAGAGGATGTATTAAAGTCACCTCCACCTTGCTTTCAAGAGAAAAGAGAATATGTTTGCCTCTAGTCTTTATGATAGAAGAAGATGCAGTTAGTCTCTGTATCTATCTATCTATCTATCTATCTGTCTGTCTGTCTGTCTGTCTGTCTGTCTGTCTATCTATCTATCATCATCATCATCGTCATCTTTATTATTCATTGTATATTCAGTTGGCCTTGCACACACAATGTAGCCCAGAGTGACCTTGAACTCCTGATCCTTCTGCATCTACCTCTCAAATGATGGAATTATAGGCAATATGCCACCATGCCTAGCCAAGCTCCTGCATATGTTTTAAGTTTTACTTATAATTGTAATGATATATATAGGTATGTCTGTGTGAGAATGTGCATAGATAAAAGCAGTTACCCAAGGAATCCAGAAGAGGGTCCCCCAGAGCTGAGTTACAGACCTTCGTGAGCCCATTCAGTGTGGCTACTGGGAACTTAATGGGTCCTCTGCAAGAGTGGGATATGTTTTAACCTAATGGGTCCTCTGCAAGAGTGGGATATGTTTTAACCTAATGGGTCCTCTGCAAGAGTGGGATATGTTTTAACCTGATGGATCCTCTGCAAGAGTGGGATATGTTTTATCTCTCCAGCCCTAGGTCCCTACGTCTTAAAGTCCCAAGTCTATCACACACTGAGGGATCTGAGCAACTGAGGTAAACTGATGGAGGAGACAATGGGAGCAGCTGAGGACTAAGTGATTTCATACTCAACTCCTGTACCATTGGGCTATTTTTAAACAGAGAAGCAGCATAGGCATAGAAAAGAATTCCAGGCTTATCTGGACAAACATTGTTAAATAATGTCCAGATGACTTTTCAAAAGAGTTTAGCCAAAACAGCTGGTCTTGCAGCAGCACAGCCCGCCAATCACACAGCAAACTTACACTGCTCTTACTATTTTGTCATCGAATTTAATCCTGATTTCACATAAATGACGATGTCTCGCAGATATTTCTCTAATGTATCTTCTGATGGGTTCTAGCTGCAAACAAAAAATTAACTCATCAAAAAATGTGTTAGTAAGAGGAAATGTTAATGACATCATTAGGAACAACAGAAAACCAAACCCCATCTATGGCCTCAACATTAGAAAGTCTTTGAGTGACTGAAGAGGAACTAAGCACAAAGGAACGATAGGACAAGGCTTTCGCAAAAAATAAAACAGCAGCTCACTTAGCCGGCAATCGCTTAGCTCAAAACTTCATAAGCAAACTGATGTCAGAGAGCTAATCACCACAAGCAAATATTTCTAAATAAATAAAAGCACAACTAGGGTAAAAGAATTGCGTTCGTGTTTTTTATGATGGCAAACTTTAAAGCCAAATTAGATGGTTCAAGCGTAGAATAATTGAGATGCAATGACATATTGTTTTAAGAACATTTATATTTATAATGAAAATAGATGTGTTTAATCAAATATTTAATCAAAACTTTCTTGGAATGAACACAGTAACATAGAAAATAAAAATCTCAATAGAAAAAAGCAGTAGAAGGAAATACATAAAATTAACATGCCAGCCCGTCATGTTACACATCATAACAATTGTTAACTAATGTTAGTTTTCGGCATGGCACATAGAAAATCTGCCTGATGGCCTCTATATTGTGCCTGTTAATATTCAGAATTTTCTAATGTTTAGAACTGATGTGGGAAGTCCTTCTGTCCATGTGTTGCTTTTGTTGGTTAATGAATAAAGAAGTTGCTTTGGTCTGTGATAGGGCAGAGCAGAGCTAGGTGGGAAACCTAAACTGAATGCTGGGAGAAAGAAGGTGGAGTCAGTGAGACACCATGGAGCTGCCAGAAGAGGCAGACATGCCCTGGAACTTTACCTGTAAACCACAAGCCTTGTGGTAGAATATAAAATAATAGAATTGGGTTAATTTAAGATATAAGAACTAGCAAGCAATATGCTTAAGTGATTGGCCAAGCAATGTTTTAATTAATACAGGTTTATATAATTATTTCAGGTCTGAGCAGCTGGGAACAAATAAGCAGCCTCCATCTACACAGAACCTTTATGGAGCACCCCAAAAACTCTTTAACCCTAGAACTAATCACCGCTGTGCACCTACCAAATGAAGGTCAAAAGGTGTTTTTCTGACAAGAGACTGATCATCAGTATCCCCTAGAGAAGCAAAATCTATGTACAGTTTCCAGCTAGAAAGGTCATATGGTGCTTCAAACAGGAGAACAGGGCAGGAATGACTTCCGAGGCTAGGTTACAAATAGCTATACAGCCTTGTCTTGGTCTGCTCGAAGAGTCCTCTCCGAGCTTTTGGCTGCACATAAGCAACCCAACTGGCCACCGATGCTGTGAAACAGCCCAGACTAGCCCAGGCAAGAACACTACATGCACACGCTTGATATTGTACACAAAGAGAAGAGATCTTGCACCAATAGCCAGAGGCTCCAGCTCCTCCTGAATCCTAGATCCAGATGTTATCTGACTGCAATTATAAGAAAGTTCATGAGCCAGAAACCCCCAGGTGATCTACTTCCTGGATTCCTGATTCACAAACATTAAAGGTAATAAAATAATGATCATTGTTTTACATCTCCAAATCTGGGTTGTTACGTTTACATATTTATTTTCAAGTCTGGGATGCTTCTCCCATTTTAGGACTGCATACCTTTTTTAAAAAAACGAAATTCTATTTACCAGGCCTGGAGAAAAGTCTGCATCTCTAACGCACTGTGAGGTGATGTGTGTGCTGCTGGCCCACAACCCACAGTTTCCATAGCAAAGTCCTAAATGGCAACTGAACTGTTATGCATTACCTTTGTCTGCAGGCACTCGGTTTTATTTTCTTCTTGACAACATGACCAAACAGCTGTGTCATAGCAAGCAGACATGGTCAAGATAGTGGGTCCATATAAGAATGGATACCTTTGAGAAATTTCATAGCTGAACCTGAAATTCACAATGGCAAAGTTGTGTGGTTTGAAATTCAGGCACATATACCAATGTCGTTTCTCAGAAACAGTATTTATTCATACTTTGTCTCTCTGGAACTTCTGGAAATTCTGGCAATTGAGATTTAGTAGCGCTTTGCCTAAACTCCTCAAAGATTCACTGTGAACAGACCAGCAGGATCATTCCCTGGGTGCCCATGACTGTAACAGGTGGGTTAAATGTGACCAGAAATGAAATCTCTCCACGTGCCTCGAGAGACAGGGAGGTAGGAAGTTCAGTTGTAATGCAGGCTTGTTCATCTGGCTCAGGAATTGACTTGACAATTATTGATGATGGTCAGCAGCCTCTCAAGGTCACCCAGAAGTTCTTCCTAGCCTAACAAAGTCAGTATCATTGTGCCTTAAGACTTGTCATGTAGTACTTTTGCTTGTTACTAAATTCCCTGGATTTAGGTTTCCTCACACAAGACCGCGGAACTTGTTCAAAAACAGCCTCACGCACACAGGAATATGCACTCAACACAAGTCAACACTGTAGACTAAACCTGTATGTTCCCACAGATCCATTTCCTTTTCCTGTGTACTCAGGAAGACTGCTTTCCCAGCCTCTGTAGTGACATTGAGAACTGTGGTCAATAAAATAATTAATAGGCACGCTGCTCATCACTTCTAAGCTTGTCCATTTATTTCTTTGCTACATTCTCGATCCTCTTTCTTCTATAAACATGTGTTCCCAAGGGTGTAGCCCAACACAGAGGCATGTGAGCTTCAGTTACTCATTAGACAAGAATCTGAGCTGAGCTGAAAAAAGCTGAGCTGCCAGATGTCCAAGTAGCGGAGTAAGTTGGGAAGCCAAGATGGAAGTCACAGCTACACCACAGGTAACTATTTACTAGGGTGCTAAAGGGGAGAGAGAGCTAAGGGAAGACTTCCAGGTCTTCGGTTCCATTGTCTCTCCCAATGATCAGGCCAGTTGAAGGCCATAGAAATCAACCTAAGGTTCAGCAAAATGGCTCAGTGGACAAAGGTGCTTACCACGCTCCTTGGTGACCAGAGTTTGATACCTGGAACACAATTGAAGGGAGGAGGAGAGAAACGGCCCCATAAAGTTATCCTTTGATCCCCCTTACACATGCATGCTCATGCCTGTGCACGGTATCTTTCTACTCAATAAGGAATGACCACAGATATTGAATCTGCCCATTTCTAGAAGCCCCTTGGGAAAAGCTCCAACAGTTTCATGGGGCCAGGAGAAGGGTGGAAAATAGCACAGGACACCGAAGCGGGAAGGGCCCCTGCTGAAAGTCCTGGGAAGCAGGTCTTCAAGAGTAGGCACTACAGCACGGAGCTCAGCTCTGTTTGGGAGCACGGGGCCCAGGTGACACAAGTCTGTGACAGTGCCCTTCAGTATCCCGGCTGTGCTTCTCTCTGCTGTGGGATGCTTTGGGGTTGCTGAAGCTTGTTGTAAATAGCAATACTTTAATACATGAATAGCCGTACTCATATTTTACCCTTAATGTCATGCATTTTGAAACTTTCTGGACATGTGATCCTCTAGTCCTTTCTAACTAAGAGTATGAGGGCGCATACTTCCTTTACAAAGCTTCAGAACTCTTTGAGGTCAGTTCTGCCCCTGTAAGGGTAAATTAAAAAGGGTTGAATTCCTCATCTCTGTATTGTCTAGTCTCCTCTAGACTGATGTGAGCAAAATCTATTATCAAATCACCACCAAGTTCCTAGAATCTGCGTCCATCAGTCAGATGTAGGATTATCCCTCATGTCAATGCCTGACTCGAGTAGACACAGCTACACTCCATGAGAGCCACCATCTTTTGTTCCCCTTGTCCTTTCCTGACCCTAACCCCTGACTTTTTGTTAGCACCTGTCTCTCATAAGATGCAACTCTGTGCTGATTAGGACTCCAGACTGGGAACTTGGTAATGCTACAGTGCTAGCTGTATTACCTGCTCCAGGATTACACAGTCCATTTTTCAACTGAAAACTCACCTCTGTTTAATCTACAATTATTGCTTGTTTCTTGGCTCAAATGACAGAACCTGCCTCACACTTCTCAGATGCTCTGTCTGGTACCTATTGATGCTTCTCCCCAGGACAGTGCACGCTTCCTAGCCTCTGTCTCCAATGCTCCCTGCTTTTTGATGTCTAGTCATCTGGACCTTTTGTTGTACATGGAGGGATAGATATAGATAGATAGATAGATAGATAGATAGATAGATAGATAGATAGATA